GAGAGAGATCCACTATCTCTTTTCCTTTTCTTGTTGGTTGGTGAGGGATTACATGAGATTGTTAAAAAAGTAGAAGATGAGGGTTTGTTGCGTGGGGTAGAGATGTGGAGAAGGGGGATGGCAGTTTCTTTGCTTTAGTTTGCTGATGAAAACATAGGTATGGTGAAAACTATTTTATGTTCGTTTGAGTTGATTTCGAGATTGAGGATTAATTTTAGTAAGAGTAGTATTTATGGTTTCAACATCTTAGAGAGATGGTTAAAGACGCAACAAGTGTTTTGGGTTGTGAGATTCAAAATACACCTTTTACCTACTTAAGAATTCCTATTGGGGGCAATCCAGAGACTAAGAGGATATGGGAACAAGTTGTGAGCAAATTTCATATTAAGCTTGCTGCCTAGGAAAATGCCATTTTGTCCTTTGGAGGCCACATCAGTTTGCTTAATTTAGTACTTTCTGCCATTCCAATTTTTTATGTCTCTATTTTTAATGCAGAATTGTGTGATTACTGAATTAATTGGTATACAATAGGATTTTTTATAAGGAGAGGCTAAGCTTAGAAGGAAAATTTCTTGGGTTAAATGGGAGTTTGCATGTGATAACAAGAAAAAGGGGGGCCATGGGGTACATGATTTAGGCAGAAAGAATTTGGCTTTGCTTGGGAAATGGTGATATAGACTAGGTGATGGGTCATAGGGGTTATAAAAACAAGTGTTGTGGGAGAAATATTATGGGGGGGAAGAAGGGAGATGGGTATTAATGTAGTGGAGGGTATATGTTTATCTTGTATTTGGAAAGATATCTTAAATATTGGTAGGAGATCTGATAAGCTTAGAGATATGTTGGTAAAGGGGTTTAGGTGGGAGGTGAGAGATGGTAAGCGAGTGGGTTTTTAAAGGGAGAATTGGGTTGGCAATAAACCTTTACGGGATGTGTGTCCTAGATTATTTGAGCTAGTGGTGAATAACAATGGTAAAATTTAGGAATTGGGGGGGAGGGGGGAGGGAGGTTGTTAAAGATGGAAGTTGGAGTAGCGAAGGTAGAGAATAGCTAGAGAGATCAGTGAAAAGGAGGTATTGTTGGAACTATTGGGTGGTGTGCATATAAGGGAGGGTAGGGAAGATAAATGGAAATGGATACATGATGGGGAAGGAATTTATGTTGTTAAGAAGGCTTATGTCTTTTTAGGTCCAAGTGGAAGAATTCCTGATGAACAGGAGTGTAAGTTGATATGATGCAAACTTGTTCCTTCCAAGGTCAATTTTTTGGTTGAAGATTATGATTAGATAGGCTTGCTAATAAAGTTAACTTACAAAGAAAGGGGGTGATGTTGTTAGGGGAGGAGTTGCTATGTGGTTTATGCAATGAGTGGGTAAAGGAGAGTAGCCATTTATTTTGTACATGTAGAGAATCATGGAAGGTATGGATGAAGGTGTTAAAGTGGTGGGGTTTGGAGGGAGTGGCTGAGATGATTATGTTTGGGTTAGGAAGGAATATAGGAAGAGAAAATGGGTTCCTATATTTTTTTATTGGTGTCTTGTTACCCTTGGTTTTAGAGGAACAGCATACTCTTTCAAAATGAGAGGAGTTTCAGAAAGCAAGTGATAGATGCAATGCAAGTCAAATCATTTGTTTGGATTAAACACAAGGTGTAGGGATGTGTTTTTTTCTTTTATGATTGGCAGTCTAATCCAGTTAGATGCGCATTAGTTATAAGGAATAAAGGTTGTGCAAAACAATTTTTAAAAAGTGTTCATGTTGAAAGGGTAATTTGGAAGGGTGAATAACTAGTAATAGAGGTATATATAAATATTTTTTCTTTTTGGGTCTAATTGGAGCCAATTTTATTAAAGTGCAGGTGTAATTGGTTATTATGTTTAATGTATTTAATTATAAGTAAGAGTATCCCTTGTACTCTATTTTTTAATAAAATTTATTTTTACTAATAAAAAAAAGTATTGCCTATATATTAACTTTTCTAAAATTCATATTTGAACTTGTTTTATGCACTTTCCCATTTTGTTTTGTCAACACTAAAAAGAGAGACTTGATGTACCAAAAGATAATGAAAATGAAGGATTGATTTTAGAATTTCAATTGATTTTGAATTGAGTTTGATTTTAAGGTATCTCTCATGAATAGCATAGGGCTAATGAAGAGAACTTGTCCACCATTGCCCATATAGTTAGTCCTTGGTATATGTAAGGGCAGGACAGAGGTACCCAACCTTGGACATACGACAGTAGTTCCTTTACAACCGGAGTGAAGAATAAATCCAGAGCTTCCCGCTCGAACAGCTGCACAGCAGTTATGATGGACATCATCGCAGCTAAATATCTATCAATTCCCCGGTCCCGAAATAACCGTCTAGAGATTCACATCAGATCCCGAATATCTTGCTTGGCTTAATTTCCCGGTCCCGAAATAACTGCTTGGAGATACACATTAGATCTCAAACATCTTGCTTGGAATGCCACGTGGGTTCTTCATTGGAACATATAAATACCTCTCAAGGGTCACGCCAGAAAGGTGATTGAAACCAACCCTAAGCTCCTTTTTCCTCTACTCTAATGGTAGCCCCGATTATTGTTGACTTAAGCATCGGAGTGTCTACCCCGAGGACCCACCTCGGGGCTTTGCAGGTCGACCCGGAGTGCGAACGTGGACTAAAGAAGGACATTTGGTTTGGTGCAGTTACATTTGGCGTCGTCTATGGGAATTCGCACTAAAAGCTCCCTTGTTGCTCTCACCATGGTTAAAACTAGGTTAGTCCGAGGTGGAAACTCATCTTAGCCTCTTAGACGAGGTCAGGTCCACAGCAATTTTCACCCTCATCTCCCGCCCCCAATCCCGAACACACTCCCTCATGCTGACCATGCAGAAGGAGGGGATGAAAATCAGCCACACAATTCGGCTCACAATTCAGCCTCTACTGCTAACCAAGACGTAGTTGCAACTCAGCTTGATGCCATGCAACAGCAGTTTGGTGTCTTTCAGCTAGTACTGGCTCAGCTATTAGTCCAGAATAATCCTGGTGATCCACTCATCAACCTACTTAATACTTCTCCACAACCCCCAGCCCCACCATCAAATCCTGAACCAGTTCAGCATGCTCTCGCTGTTAGTGAATCTCAGGGCCAATCTCACATCGCACCAGCTCAGCAACCCCTTCATGATGATGTCACTCGACGTCTAGATAGCTTAGAAAAGTTAGTGGTTGAACAGCGAGGTGCCCCACCTCCACACCCTGCTGCTGACTCTGTACCCCACCCTCTCAACACCAATATTATACTGGAACCCTATCCCGTTGGCTTCAGAATACCACAGCTTGAAACTTATGATGGGACGAAGGACCCAGATGATCATCTACATGCTTTCTACTCTTGCATGCAGGCCCAGAACACCTCTGATGCGTTGATGTGCAAAATCTTTCCCTCTACCCTCCGAGGTAATGCTCGAACCTGGTACTACAGTCTGCCTTCGAGGTCAATCAACTCTTACACAGAAATGACATCTGCTTTAGCCACAAAGTTTTCCAGTAGAAGGTTGATCAGGAAAACCACTTCTGAGCTGATGCGAGTTAAGCAGAGGGACGGAGAGTCTTTGAAGAATTTTATGAGCAGATTCAATGATGCAGTGCTGGAGGTCAACTCTTTCGACCAAGCTGTGGGAATTACAGCTGTGATCTCAGGTCTTAGCCATGAGAGATTCAGAGATAGTCTGCTCAAACATCCTGCCAACACCTTCAGTGAGGTAAATGATAGATCGTTGAAATTCATAACTGCTGAGGAATATGCCCTGTCGCAGAGCCTAACTCCTATTAAGAACCAACACCCAGACTAGAGAGATGAGAATCCGAACAGGAAACGGATGAAGACAACACAGAACCAAGGTCCGATGTTGACTTCCACCCTGAGATTCGGAAGGCCGAACTTAGCACCTCCGCAACAACCTGCAGGTAAACCTCCAGTTAATTGGACTCCTTTTAATTTACCGAGGTCACAAATCTTTATGCAGATTAAGAATAAGATGGACTTAAGACGTCCGGGTCCAATGAGAACTGTTGCTGCTACCTGAGATCATACTAGGTATTGTGATTTTCATCAAGATCACGGCCATACAACAGAGCAATGCAATAGTCTGAGGTCCGAGCTGGAAAGTCTGGCACAGAAAGGAATGTTGAATGAGTACATCCAGAGAGTTGAACAGCCACAGTTTGTCAGGGAACAAGGGCCACAGCCTCAAGGAGTCCGTAACCCGCCAAACAGGCAAGGTGTGGGATATCAACAAGCCCCACCCCCGCTCCCACCAGCAGCTAGAATTATACACATGATTACAGGAGGCCTGAAAGCCGGTGGACTGAGCTCTAAACAGAGAAAGTTGTACGTCAGAGAGATTAAGCATCCAAACCACGCTCAGAAACGGAAATTTGATGATGCTGACTGGAAGAATCAACCTATTACTTTCACATCTGCTGATTCTGACACAGTTGTTACACCCCACAATGATCCTCTAGTCACTTCCGTCATGATCAACAATTGTGAGGTGCAGCGTGTCCTTGTTGACACAGGCAGTGCACTAGACATCATGTACTTCCATTATTTTGAGAGTCTTGGGTTGGATCCAGCTCTGTTGCAGCGGTATGATGGTCCCATCTCCGGGTTCAACAACCAACCAGTTCCAGTTGAAGGAGTCCTCACCATGAATGTTGCATTTGGAAGTGGCCGAAGTTATGTGACCCCTTCAGTTCGGTTTTTAGTAGTCAAGATGGCGTCCTCTTTCAACGTTGTCATTGGCCGACCTACACTGACTGAAATCCGAGTTGTGGTTTTCCAGTCTCACTTATGCATGAAATTCCCAACTCCTACGGGAGTAGCAACATTGCGAGGCAACCAGGAGGTGGCCTGACATTGCTACATCACCTCGGTCACACAACCTCAGAAGGGCAAATATCAGACACCCGAGGTCAATCCCACACGGATTCCTGACAATTGGCAAGTTATGGGTGTGGAGATAGTGGATAACCGACCATAAGATGAAACCAGAGCTGCTCCGGTTGAAGATGTGGAAGAAGTACAGATTGATGACAGAGATCAGAGCCGAAAAACACAAATTGGGACCAAATTGAACCCGGAGGAAAGAGCAGAGCTAATAGCTTTTCTTCAGGCCAATAAAGACGTTTTTGCATGGACTTCAGTAGATATGCCGGGAATTCCCACTTCAGTTTCTCAACATAAACTCAGCACCACTCCACTCAAGAAACCAGTAGCCCAAAAGCGATGCCTCTTTGGGGGAGAGAAGTTACAGGTCATCAAAGAAGAAGTTGAGAAACTCTTACAAGCTGGCTTTGTCAGAAGGGTCGATTACTGTGAATGGGTCGCCAATCCTGTGCTGGTGAAAAAAGCAAACGGTAAATGGCGGATGTGCATCAATTACACTAACCTCAACGACGCCTGTCCAAAAGACTGTTACCCAATGCCAAACATTGACAAACTGGTTGAGGCAGCCTCTGGAAACGAGAGATTAAGTCTTTTGGATGCATACTCTGGCTACCACCAGGTTCCAATGGCTCCTGAGGATACTGATAAAACCTCGTTCTATGCCAGCGATGAAATTTATTGTTATGTAATGATGCCCTTCGGCTTGAAGAACGCAGGTGCTACTTACCAGAAGATGGTTACCATCGTATTCCGAGCTCAAATAGGCCGGAATCTGGAGGTATATGTTGATGATATAGTGGTAAAAAGTCTGAAAGCTAGAGATCACTTAACCGACCTCGAGGAAACATTCAACAACCTTAGGAAGAACAGAATGAGGTTAAATCCAGCAAAGTGTATTTTTGGTGTGGAGTCAGGAAAGTTCCTAGGCTTCATGGTGTCCAGAAGGGGGATTGAGGTTAACCCCGAGAAGATCAAAGCAGTAGCTGAGATGGAACCACCGAAGTCAGTGAAAGATGTACAGAGGTTGACAGGGAGAGTAGCAGCTCTTCATAGATTCATTTCGAAATCAGCAGATAAATGCTTGCCGTTCTTCAAGATCGTGAGATTGGTAGCTCAGAAGGATGAATCTGGCAAACAAAAGAAGTTTGCATGGAATTCGGAATGTCAAGCTGCATTTGACGAGTTGAAGTCTTATCTTAACTCACCTCCTTTGCTGACAAAGGCTGATGATGGAGAAATCCTTTACTTGTACCTTGGGATATCAAATGAGGCTATCAGTTTTGTGTTAGTAAGGGAAGAGGGAAAGCAACAGAAACCAATTTACTACATCAGCAGCGTGTTACATGGAGCTGAAGTCAGATATTCCATTGCTAAAAAAGCAGCCTTAGCAGTTGTCACTTCGGCCAGGAAACTGAGACCGTATTTCCAATCACACCCAATTATAGTCCTCACGAACCAACCGCTCAAACAAATTTTGCAGAAGCCAGAATGTTCGGGGAGATTAATCAAATGGGCAGTTGAATTGGGAGAATTCGAGATCACATTTCAGCAGAGGTCAGCCATCCGAGCTCAGGCTCTTGCCGATTTCATAGTAGAGTGCACCTCGGCTCACTCTGATTTCCAATCCGAGGTGGACAGCTGGATTTTATATGTTGATGGCGCATCAAGTAATAAAGGTTCTAGCGCTGGTGCAATCCTACTTGGTCCAGATGGGTACCGAAGCGAACACGCTCTAAAATTTAATTTTGATGCCACCAACAATATGGCCGAATACGAAGCCCTGCTACTTGGCTTACAGCTAGCGATAGCATTGAAAGTTGAAGCGATACAAATATACAGTGATTCATAGCTGGTAGTCAATCAGGTTAACTCAATCTGTGAAGTGGTTGATCCTATTATGATAAAGTATGTAGCTCTAGTAGCCGAGCTGAAATCCAAATTCCAGAAATTCCATTTAAGCAAAATACCTCGAGCTGAAAATGAACAAGCAAATTCCCTCTCTAAGTTTGCTTCTGATGGCAACCAAAGCTCCAGATCGATCTTTGTAGAAATTATGAACGAACCTAGCTTCTTGAAGCCATGAATGATGGAAATCAGCACGGATCCTAACTCACCAAGCTGGACAGATCCAATTACTTCGTTTCTACGAGATGGTGCAGTGCCTGCGGATAAACAAGAAGAGATGAGGCTGAGGAAGAAAGCATCTCGGTACACCCTTGTTAATGATGTTCTCTACAAAAGATCTTTCTCACTCCCTTTGCTCCGCTGCCTAACCCCTTACGAGGCTGAATACGCACTTCGGGAGGTGCATGGAGGTGTCTGCAGAAGTCATATAGGTGCTCGAACTTTGGCCCATAAAGTCCTTAGACAAGGCTATTATTGGCCTAACATGTATAAGGATGCCATCCAGTTCTTACAACGGTGTCAGAAATGTCAGTTCTTCGCACATCTAATTCACCAGCCTGCAGAAGAGCTCACTACTCTGGTAGCACCTTGGCCATTTGCCCAGTGGGGTCTTGACCTTTTAGGCCCATTTATGACGGGGGTAGGAGGTGTAACCCATCTCATCGTTGGTGTAGACTATTTCACAAAATGGGTTGAAGCTCAGGCACTATCCAGTCTTACCTCCAAGAAGGTCGAAGACTTTGTTTTCAGCTCGATTATTTACAGATATGGGATCCCGAGTCAGATTGTAGCTGACAACGGCACTCAATTCAATTGCTCCTCATTCCAGGATTTCTGTTCCAGCTACGGGATTAAACTGCAATTCACCTCGGTTTACCATCCGGAGTCCAACGGCATGGTCGAGTCTGTTAACAAATGCATCTTAGAAGGTATAAAGTCGAGGTTGGAACAACACAAGGCCAAATGGGTAGACGAGCTCAACAATGTCCTCTGGGCATACAGAACTACGAGCCGAACTGCCACAGGTATTACCCTACACCTGGCCTATTTGATTAATTTTATATTATTTTTCTTCTTCTGCGGCTTTACCTTAGAGCAAATATTCATAACGCGTAAAGTGCATTCTAAAGTTATACTCAACTTAAATAGGTGAAACACCCTATCATCTGGCCTTTGGTATCGAAGCAGTCATTCCTATCGAGATAGGAGTCCCAAGCTTTACGGTCACCCATTTCGATGAAGGACGAAATGGACAACTGCTTCGGGAGAACCTTTATCTGCTTGATGAAGTCAGAGAAGAAGCACGACTTCGAACTCTAGTCTACAAGCAGAAAATAGCAAACTTTTACAACAAATGAGTTCGACCCCGCACATTCAAAGTAGGCGACCTTGTTCTCAGGAAAGCTGGTCTAACGGGGTTCGAAACTCGATTTGGAAAGCTAGCACCAAACTGGGAGGGCCCCTACACCATAGCCGAAGTGCCGCACTTAGGTGCTTATATCCTGAGGGACACCGAAGGCAAACGGGTTCCTAGAGTCTGGAATGTCAATAACTTGAAGAAGTTTTACCCTTAAGTATACTTCATTTAAGTGAATTTTGTCTTAATCGTTATTACTTTCATTCCTTCCGCTCAACCTAATATGTATTTGAACTCAATTCATTTATCTCATTAATAAGTTTCACTTCGCATTCGAAGTAATTCAGTTCTGTGTACTGTTCTATACGTTGAAAGTGGATATCACTTACTTCTGAAGTTAGTTCATTCTGACTCACTCGGACTTCTGAGTTATCATCTTGTTAATCAGTTATACTTTATTTCCGAAGTGATTTACTTTATCTTTTCTCATCTATATGTTTGAGGGCCGAAGTCAATTTCCTTGCAGCTCATTTTATTGTGTCTGAGGTCAGATCCTGGTGTCAATTAAAGTCACTTTATTTCATCCTAAGTGATTTACTTACAACAAACAAACATCAAAATATGCAAGTCATAAATAACTTCAAAGATTTCATCAATTAATACAAAGTCAATTACAAAAATATTCATTACAAGAGTAAAACGTAAAATCCTAAACTACTCGGCTGGAGGTGGAGGCTGCTCCTCAGCCGGAAGGGGTGGTTGAAGCGGCTCATCGTTAGCAGGCAAAGGCGGCACTTCTGCTCCAGGAAGATCCAACTGCTGCACGTCATCAGAAGAGACTGGATGCACCTCGAAAGGCTGCACTTCGGGCGGATCTGCCTGAACTTCAGCTTCAGCACCTCGCACTTCTTCTTCTTCCTCTCCTTCTTCCCCCACCACCACCAGCTCAGCGTCAAAGGCTGGAGGGAAGATCATGCGTCCCTCTGCGTCATGCTCCCACCTCAACTTGATCAGAGGTCGGAAGTCAGCAGAAAGACTCTCACCATCCTCCTCCACTCTTTCTTCCTGTTCTCCAAAGGTGACCGTTGTGACGTCCACCTCTAAGTACTGGGCCTTCACCTTCTTTCTACAGTCGGTGAAGGCTAGGATGGCGGTGGGTAGCCGGTACAGGTTGAGGATGTTCTCGAAGGTGCTGGAGTCGAGGAAGTTGCCAATGTGCTCCTTCATCCCGTTGTGCACCAACAAATTAACATTCTTCTTTAGCTCCGCTACTCCTTTCCTCATATTGTCAATATACTTGTCTTGAGCCTCTAGCTTCTCCTCACAGATCTTCCTCTTACGTTCCTCAAGGGCAAGCTTCGTGCTCAAGACATTATTGTCGTTCTGGAGTTCGGTCACTAAAGGGAGAACTTCATCCAGCCTCCTTTGCATCTCCCTCTTTTCCCTCTCCCACTCCTCTTTCTCCTTCTGCAGCTCTTCCCTTTCTTTCTGCAGCTCTTCCCTTTCTTTCTGCAGCTGCTCACACTGCCTTTGCAAGCTGGCACGATCTCTCACGCTTTCCGCATACTCCTGCACTAGAGCGTTTGTCCAGCTTGCACTCTGCAAGGCAAGCAGAAGTCAGACCTCAAACACAGAAGTAAGAAAGAAAGAACAAAATAAAACAGGACTAAGCGACAGCTCCCCTATATACCTCCAAGGCATGCCTCACAACAGTAGCTCCTAGCCGGCTCACCGCCTCATCCCTCGCCCGCATCTTGTCCACCTCAGGGAGGGTAGAGTTAAGGAAGTGCTTCGCCCCAGTCGTGTTTGCCGCCTCAAACAAACTCTTCTCGTACGAGCGGGGAGGGATGAGTGCCTTGCCCCGGCCAGGGCCTCGCACCTCGGCCTCTTCCCTCCCTGACTTTAGGATCGATTTTAGGAGCAGAAGGGCGAGGCACAAATTCCATCACCTCATCCCCCCTCACCTCTGGTTCAGCCACCTTCCTCTTCTTTCTTTGAAGTGGTGCCACCTCCTCACTCACCTCCTCACTATCCCCCCCTTGCCGGCTCTAGCCTCTGCTGTATCTCCAGCACCCGAGCAGAAGTGCTGGGCAGGCGCTCTTTCTCTAGAACTCCTTTGTCCACCGCAGTTGAAGTCTTTGACTTCTTCCTTGGCTTCTTTGGGATGCGCAGTCCTTCAGCAGCACTGACAAATTCGTCCATCTTAGCTGTAAAGCAAAAACAAGTGTTAAAACACAATAACTGGAAATTCAAATAAGCTGCAAAAGGTAACCACATACACAAACCTTCGCTCAATGAGCTCGGCCCATAGAGCTCAGCAGCCTCTATTGCCTTCGGGCTGGTGAGGTACAGGATATCCACTACGTCTTCTTCTTCCCTCACCAGCTTTTCTACCTCCTCCACCTCATCCTGATTTAACTTATAGTTGTTCTGCTTGGTTTTCTTAGCCTTCCAAGCAGACAACTATTCCACTTCTGCATCCCTCCTACTCCACTTGGTGTCATCCACAAAGAAGAATTTTTCTTTCCATCCTTTGATGGATGACGGTCCAGCAGAGAATAAATTCCTATTCTCTTTGCTAGACAACCGAGGACCGAAGTAATACCACCCCTTCTCCCCCTTACCCCCAGCCTTAATTATAAAAAAATGTTTGAACATGTTCACCGTTGGAACCCCAACCCCCCGAAGTCGACAGTATACAAGAAAACCTATTACTACCCTTATGGCATTTGGGGTTAGTTGGGTTATTCCTATACTATAGTCTAATAATAACCCAACCAACAATTTTGGAATGGGGAACCTAAGCCCTGCCATTAAATAATGGACATATAAGGGCATCCAATGGTCTCGGGGCGCTAAGCATGCCCTCTCATTCACCCCGGCTGGCATAATTAGGACATGGTGAGGGAGGTTGCAATTACCCACGAGGCCCCTCAGACTCTCCCTGCTGCCTAACTCGCTCACATACCCCCTCACCTCCGATACCATCTCTAAATCGGGGTCATAACACCCATCTACCCTCATCCAAGCCTCCAAAATGTTTGAAGGGATTTCATCTTCATCCTCCTCTCCTACCCTCTGATCCCTCCTCTCCTCCACCATCCTCTCCGAACCAGAAGGAGAAAGACTACTCTCCTCATCCATGCTCCCATAATCCAAGGGCATGACCTCACTCCCCACTACACTCACGGTCCCTTCTGAAGACATCTCCTCAATTTCTGTAGAAAATAGGAGGAGGAACAGAGTCAGGACCCTTAAAAATGCTAACACACTCAGCACATTCTCACCCCCACCCCTAATTTCCTTCAGAAAAACACCCAAATCAAACACAGAAAGGGAGAAAGGAGAATCGCACTTCGACAAAATCAAACCCAAAAATTCATACACTTTACCTAATTTTGGTCTTGAAAACTGTTGTTGAAGTCTTGATTGAAGCACAAACTGCACGAAGTCGCAGAAATTTAGTAGAAATTTAGCAAGAATTCAGTAGCAAAATCGTGAGAGTAAAAACCCCTTTTACAGAAGTCTAGCCTTTTATACCAAAGGCAAAATACGCCTCAACGGCTGTGATTAACCCCATCTAACTGCTGCTAAGACACCGTTTCGAATTCGACGGTTAACCCCAAACGGTACCGTTTCGAACTCGACGGTTCGTTTTTTACATCTGCCCATTGGACTATTACTTTAACCTTTTTACAGCGGCATTTATTACGCACGTCATTCAGAGGAACCGTTTCTCCTTATCATCCTTTCTCTCTTTGTGCGACACACAAGCTTTCTCTTTTCTTCACTTCTTACATCTAATCTAAGGCATAGGGTGAAGGCTACTTGTCCATTGATGGAGGGAGTGTGGCTAGTCAAGGAAGCTAAGGTTTTTCTTACAACATTCAATTAAATCACAATTTTCTCAACATCCAAACATTGATTGAAATAGTCTTTAGTTCATTTCATGCTAAAACCAAGGAATTAACACCAAATTCATAGGAAAAAAACTCAAATCAATTTAACATTATAGTATTTTTCAATTTCCATCATTTTCTCACCAACCAAACGGAAGCCAAATGTACAATCTTTCTCTACTTGTCTAATGTTTTTTCCATCACCAGTGATGTTCTCTTTTCAACATTAAAATCCTCTAAACAGCAAGTAGGGAATAAGAAGCAAAATGATCCCAAAAATCCCTCTATACGGTTTATTAATCATCTCCATTGCTCCTCATGCCCTACATCAACAACACCTACTAATGCCATGTTTTAGAGATTTTAATGTGATCTCATTTTCTATTTTCAATAATTATCTTTAATTTCCATAAAAAAGATTTGAGTGAAACCTTTTTCCATACAAAATGTGCTAGAAAATAACCCTTTTTCAATAGGGTTTAGTGACAAACTTTTTTCATTAATATTGAGCATGATATTTCTATAATTGATATTTAAAATTTGTCACGATTATGATGAATTATAATGACGATTTCAAGATTCATCCTAAATTTTCATCACTAAAAATGCTTTTTCTTATGGTGGTGAGTTATAGTTAGCTATTCTCATCCTTTGATAAAATGGTGTAAGCTAGGAAATTATAGTTAACTACGAAGACATTTAGCAAATTAATGTGTAATCATTCCAAAACTTTTACATTAATCATTAAACCTAGTTTCATTAATATTTTTAAAAGAAAAATAATTAATACATACTAAGTTTAACATGATTTTTAATATTGGTTCTAATTTAACTATTAAAATATAAGATAAGTATGATTGATTTAATCAGTTATACATTACTGCATATTTAAATTTGATTACTTTTAATCTAAGACCAGAAAATAGTAATTTTTTAAGGTTAAATAGTAAATACCCAATTTGATTCCTTAACTTTTTATTTCAGACCAAGTTCATCCCTAAACTTTAAAAATACTAAATTCATCCCTTAAGTTTACTTTCCCGTTTCCAGATTGGTCCTTCGATGACGAAAGTGCCTATGTGGCACATTAACTTGCCACAAATTTTTACTTTTTTAAATTTGAATAATATCAAGGACAAAAGAACAATCATGTATTGATGACATGGACATTACTAGCATTAATATAAATTAATATAAATTAAATAAATAAAGTAAAATCCACACTCGCAAGTTCCTAATGAGCTAATAATGTATATCAAAATAATTTTTCTACATATGTAACAAAAAAATAATGTATATCAAAAAGTGGTGATACAAAAATAATTTTTATATATTATTTTTATGTAATTTTTATATATTATTAAATAAAATAATTATAATATTTTTTTTAATTTTTTATTTAAAAACAAATAAATAAATAAATAAAGTAAAATTCATTCGCCAATCACCATCCTCACTCCATAACCTCAAGCCTTTCTAAGGAACTTGATGAGATTTAAGGTCCGTTTGCTGAAATTTTTTAGAATTTTTACTTTTTTAGTACTATTTATGAGTCATGAGTTAAAATTTTTATTAAAAGAAAAATTTTAATGTTACTTTTAAAAATAATAAGAAATGAATAACAAGTGAGTAAAAAAAATTTATAAAAAATAAAATTTTGAAAATTTTTAAAATTTACTGTTTAAGGCATTTTTAAAGTTAAAAATAAATTAAAAACAGTAAATTTTTTAAAAAAATTAATAATATAATATTAATAATATCAAAAAGTTGAAACACTAACAAGTTTCACCAAACATACTATTAGAAACTTAAGTTTCAAGTTTTGAAATCTCATTTCTATCTCTCTAATTGCACTAGTTAAAAAAATAAAAAAAAATAAAAAATAAAGTAAAATCCACTCATTCAAATGCAGTGGGATCCATTTATATTAACTTATATTAATTATATAATAATTATTCACATGGTATGCTTGAATTACAAAAATTAAAAAAAATTAATTAATTAAATTATAATATATTTAAAATAATATAATTTGATTAATTAAAAAAATTTTCATTTCTCTCTCCCCTTAACTTAATTAATTAACCTTAAATTTATATGTATAATTCTCTAATTGATTATTATTTAAAAATAACTATTTATTTACATATAAATTTTACTAATTAAAATTATATAAAATTTTAATTACTTAACTTCTTATTTTTAATAATTATGTTAAAATTTATTTATATTTATTAAAAATAATTATTTTTTATTTGAAAAATTATAATAAATTCTAATTATTAAAAATAAAAAAATTAATAATCAAAATTTTATACATAATTATAATATATAAAACTTATATATAAATTAATACCTCCTCTGGTTTAAAACATCAATTAAATTATAATTAAACAAAATTAAAACTCAATTAACCTCGCTCTTTTCTCCACTTCCCCAGCGTATCCTTGTCCTCTTCATTTCATTACCAGAGTCTATTTCGCCTAAATTTAGCGACAATTCAAATCCTCTTCCATGAAACTCAAGAACTCCAAATCCATACCCCTTAAAACCATCCAGTACATAGATTGTGGTTGTAACAATTGCAGCAATGGCACTAATTGATTCCCTTCCCTTCCATGAAACTCAAGAACTCCAGATCCATACCCTTGAGCCCCACCCAATACATAGAGCAAGAAAAAATTCAAAACCAAAACCCGAAAAAGATTTTGGTTGTAGCAATTCCAACAATTGAACCAACTGGATATGAGATTTTAGGTATCCGTTGGTTTCTCAAAGAACCCTAATCAAAAGGTTTTTGATGCATATCAAAGCCCGATAGATTTCCTCATCAAAACACTGGCAACGACCTGAAAACCACATAATCTTATCAGAAACCCAGTGCTCTTTGCTGACGCACGTTGCAAAAGAAACTAGATCGGCCCTCACACTGACGGATGAACTTGAACGATGATTCTCATGTCTAGCAGCCGATCTGCATTCTGTAACCCACACATAAAGTTCAAAACTAATCTGGGTTCGATCTGTGTTATGCAACGCATCTGGCAAACCCAGATCCTAGCTGAAAAAGGAAAGAAAAAGGGAAAAGGAAAAGGGAAATGAAGAGTATGAGAACGGAGCAGAGGGAAAGCCGGGGCTAGAAAAAAGGGATATAACACCAGTAGTATTGGCGCCGAATAGAAGGGAAGAAGTTAATCGGAATAATTGAAGAGATGGAGGAGGGGTTGACCATTGAGGAAGAAGACAAGGGGAGGGTAGTTTTGTAAGTTTACATTTTAATTTATTATAAATATTAATAATTGGGCCACCTAAGATTAAACAGAAGGACTCTTGTTGCCATGTCAAATTAGAACTTGCTTCCATGGATACTGGTATAACGTCCATGTCAACAATACATACTTTATTTATTTATTTATTTATTTATATCATTATTTAAATTTAAAAAGTAAAAGCTTGTGGCAAGTTAACCTGCCCCTATCTATTTCCGTCGACAGAAAGATCAATCTAGTAATAAGAAAATAAACTTAAGGGATGAATTTGATAGTTTTAAAGTTTAAGAATGAACTTGATCTTAAAATCAAAAGTTGAGGAACTAAATTAAAATTTTAATTATTTTTTAATAAATATATTATACAGTATTAGAATTCAAATGTGTACGAGTTAATTTAACAAATCATTTACTAATCTATTTAATCTTTTATATTTTGGTGTTAAAGGTAATTTATTAAAAATAAATCCCTTAATTTGAGTATTGTCAATTCTAACCTTAAAATGTTTTGATAATAAGAAGAAATTGAACTTTTTTATTTCATTTTTAATAGCCAACAACTCTTTATGATTTGAATGATATCTAGTGTCTACATCTTTAAATGTACCACTAACATATCTATAAACTTTTTCTTGAGAATTTTTCAAAGCTGCTCCCTAATAAAAATATGAGGCATCACATTCTAAAATTAACTCTTCATCTTCTTTAGGCAATTGTAGCCTAAGAAGGTTTTTGCAATATTCTTTTATTCTTTTCACATGATTAGTGTAATAAATTTCCCATTGTTGATTTTCTTTTTTCTTGAGCAATTTTTGTAAAGGATCTCTTAATTGAACTAAGGTTTGAATTAACTACTCTGCATAATTGAGTATTTCTAAAAACCTTTGAATTTGTTCTTTAGATTCTAATCTATTTAGGAACATCGAAATCTTTTCACTAATGTAAGGTTGTAATTCTATTCCTTTGTAATCTATTGTTAATCTAAGGAATTTAAAATTTTGGTTTTTTCCATCTCTGCTTTCTTTTCGAAAAGTAGTATTCCATGTTTCTTGCATAAATATGCAAATTTCTTAAGATGACATAAATGTTCTTCCCCATTATCAAAGAAGATAGTATGTCATCTACATAAACTATGCAAAATTTCTTGATGGAAGAAAATACATTATCCATCCTTCTTTGAAATATTTGAGGTGCATTTTTTAATCCAAAAGGCATTACTAACTAGTCATAGTGTCCTGTAGGGACACTAAAGTCTGTTAGTAGGATATTGTTAGGAGTTAGCTTAATTTGCTAAAATCTTGATTTGCAATCAAACTTTGAATACATTTTCTTTCCCCCAATGCTATTGATTAGAGTTTCTTTATGTGGTAAAAAGTAACAATCAAATTTAGTTTTGCTATTAAATCGTTTATGGTTGACAACCATTCTAGCTTTTCCTCTTTTTAATTCATTATGATTTCTTACTATAAAGGCAAGACTACTATGCAAACTCTTTGAGGCCTATATAATTTTCTGGGTCATTAACTCTTGATTTTGCTTATCAAATTCTTCTTTTATCTTTAGGGCTATACCTCATTGGCTTGACTCTAATGATAGTCTTTGGGTCTATCAATTTGATTGTGGCATAAGTTTTATCAACTCCCCATTATCTTGTGGGATCTTCTCCATAATTACTTCTTAATTTTTCTAAGATAGATTCTAAGGTTATTTTTTCTTGTGTTTTTTCATTATTCCACAATGCTAGCACTAGTTTTCTAATCCCTTTTGATCGAGTTTTTTTTTATTATTCTCATCACGTTGGCTGTGAAAATTTAATGGTTCTATTGCTTTAGTATAAGCATTATAAATTCTAGAGGCATAAAGCCAATGTCCACAAAGTGTATAAAATTTTACATATAATACAGTTTGAACATATTGCTTGAATTGACTTAGGAAATTGTTTGCTAATAGAATGTCATTCCCATGCTCATTACTTTCGTAGACTCAGGGAATTATTACTTCAGTTCCACCAATTACGATAGTAACTCTTTCTATTATTGTTTTATATTGAATAATATTTCCATCTATGGCTACACGTTTCATAGTTTGAGATGTGCTTTTCCAATAATACTTTGGGAATACATTTGTTTTGGCCAAACATATACCAGATCCTGTGTCTATAAAAGCATGAAAGAATTCTGTTTTGTATTTTTCATACTTGATTTCAATGGATATGTATACACTATGGATGCTAGTTTTCATAGTATCTAGGTATAAGCACTTCTTTTCCACTTAAGGTAATCTTCAAACAATGTTGTTAGATATTATATGGTTGTATTGATGTTAAGAATGTGTTTCCTAACATTAATTCTATACTTGCAGTCATTTCTATTTCAACATGAGCTGTTATAGTGATCTCATGTTGAATCTTATTCTTATCCTTTATTCGAAGAGATACTCTAGCATATTTATGTACTGTGGTTACTGCACCATTAAAGTTATAATTTGTATATAGTCTAGTGAGTTCAAATCTTTGTAGGTGTAGAATCATATTGTTATGGATATTTGTTACCCCTACTCCTGTATCTATTAGAATAGAAATGTTATGTCATTCCTTTCCATCATAAAAAATCTCCTTTTATTTTGAAATGTTTAGAAGGAATCTTTAAGGTGTTTAACATCACCTTCTGTTTTATACTAGTCATTCTAGTTAAGACCTCTTTATCTTTCTTAGGATAGTGTAGAGCTCCTAAGTCTACACTATTTCGATGGTTGGGTTCAGGTTTCGTTTTAACTAATAGTTTTCTTTACTCATATGCCATTAGTCTAGGCTTTTCTCTTTCTACTATTAGGAGTGTTTTTTCACTAATGTCTATTTCCCATTCTCTAGGTAGTTCTATTTCAATGATCATTTTTGGTTTTTGAATTTGTCCTATTTCAAAGAACATAGGATCTAATTCAATATATTCTTTATCTTTAAAAAGATTAGATTGATGACTATTAGTCAATGCATAACTTATCATATAGTAAATACTATATGGCATTGATCCATCTTTTATAAAGTTTTCACTGGCGAATTCATGTGCTAAACTTAAGGTTTTATTAATATTTCTATCATTAATGTTTACAGCGTATTTTGGATATACTGTAAAGATAAGTTTTTGGTAACTAAGGTTACCTTGCACTAATCCAAGGATAGCATCCTTTCTATCATTGATTTTATTATTAATTAAAGCTAATTTTATTGGGGTGTCTATTCCTTCCTTAAAATGAGCTTTAATAAGTATTTGTATTCCTTCAATATGGATAAAACCTATCTTTGATCTATCATTTTCTTTGATTTTTAACAGTTTGCTTTCTATTTCTGGTTTAATAATTAAAGGTATATTTATTATTCATGTTGTATTCTTGATAGGAATGCTATATTCTTTAGTGAATATTCTGTAATAAAATATATCTTTCCTCTTAAAAGGATTACTTATAAAGGAAGTTGGTTTGAATCCTTTTTCTAAAGCAAGGTCCATTCTCTTTTGTTTAGTTCTTTTATATTTAGTTTTATCGAATACAGTTATTTGATTGTATTCTCCATGTCCATATTCTTTAGAATAAGTTTCTCCTTCTTCAATATTCTAATTCATTACTACTGGAGGTATATAAACTTTCCACTTCATATATACTTTCTTCAGTACTTATTGAACTAATATCTATTTCACTTAATTCTTTTTCATAAATTTTTAGGTTTTTAGTACTTTCTCTTTTGTATCTTTTAGGACATTCATTTGCATAATACCCCTCTTCTTTATGCAACCAGCATGTCCATTTCTTAGGATTATTTTTATGCTTTTTTTATGCTTTGGTTTTCTTAAAATACCTCTTTTTCTTTCTAGAAAATTTATTCTTATTAAATCTTTATTTATTACTTCTTTTAATTCTAAATTTCTTGTTTCTCTTGTTGTAGTTGATGTAACTACATCCTAACTTGATTGGATCACTATTCTTAAGACAACATAGTTCTTTTTTCATGCTCTTTCTTAGTTTATTCTAGCTATAGGTTTCTAGGCACCATTCATTGATTTTGGTTTTAGCGAACCAAATCCTTAATCCTAAAGTATCTTTCTTATCTTCTACATATATTTTATAGACTTCTGCCAATTTTGTTCCTTAAGGATTAGGAATTTTTTTGAAAAAACAATTCCATTAGGCCTTTAGTCATTCCATGATTTGAAGCTTTATAATAGTAATTCTGGAATAGGCCAATGTATTGATCTAATTCACAGAGATTACATAATTCTAAAATTTGCAAATTCCATACTACTATTCTTCCAATTTTGGCCTTTTATTTTCCTTGATTTTCTTCCCAATTTTTTCCTAAGAATTCTCTCCTTATGGTTGATTCAAATCTATTTATTATGTCTTGAATTGCTTCGTTTTCATTAACTTTTTCCGAAGCAGGATTTCCACTTATAATAATATTACTTTCTTCTTCATTTAGACCAGCAAACTAGTCATGAACTATCCCTTTAAAGATGACTTCAATAAATCTAACTGCTTGTAAGGCATTCTAATTTTTGTTTGCTATAGCTATCCAAGTAGCTTGGGCTCAATCACTAATGACCTTCTCAAGGTTGGTAACACAATCTAGATCTAGCCAAATACCATTTGTACTAATTATTTGTTCTTTGACTCTGGATGGCGTTTCGAGTCTAGATCGATTTCCAAATCTTTTACTCTATTTATCATATATCACTTCATGTGCTAGATTTCTATTTCTTCTATAGCTTTGGCTTATGCTGGGTTCTACTCCAGGTGGCACTAGAAATTCTGTTAGGGTTATATTAGGATGCATTTCATCCTTTTCTTCTTCACTTTCCTCTTCTATTTCCTCCTTTTGAGTATTTATTTTCATATTTTCTAATTGTTGAGTAGATATAGTAATCTGTTTGCACAGATTATCTAGTTCTTCTACATTTTCTTTTTCTAAGAATTTTTGTTCAAGTTCTTTCAACTTTTCTTCTTGGATTTTTAACATGAAAAGTATTATTCCTTTTGATTTAGGTTTTTCTATGAAAATCTTCAAGATTATTTTAAATCCTTCATTTCTATCTATAATATTTCACCTACTACATACTGATATTATAGTATCTTATAGATCCTTGAGTTGTGTTTGGATCTTATAAAAATTTTTAGCTGTATCATTTTCTAGTTGTGGAATTATCTATTGTACATCTTTAAGCTTTTATTACAAATTTTTTAGCGATTGCTTTTAATATCTTGAAAATTTCTTCTATTGTAATTTTGATTTCTCTTACTTGAGATATCAGAGTCTTTAAGTTTGTAATAGGCCTTATTTCTTCTTTTATTTCTTTCAAATTTCTAGAATTTTTGACATCATTTGTTCTTTTTTTAATCGAATCAAATTCTTGAGAAAAGGATTTTCTCGTTTCTTTAATTCTTCTTAAGGTATGTTCATTAATTATTTCAATTTTTAGAATCTTATCAATGATGATTGTATCTTTTATTTCCATTATACTTTTACCCAATGTATTAAGTAAATACATATTAATTTGGTTTATTTGTTCATTACTCATGCTAATAGACACTGTTTTGAAAACCAGATCTGATCGACCAATTGAATTGGTTGGACTAACACCCAATAATAGAAACGAGTTAGGTTGATATCTTAAACCATTTAGGTGATTGAACCGTTTAAAACCACTCAAACCGTCCAAACCGATAAGAACCAATAACCCGTCCAATCGACCAGGCCAACTCTTTGGACAAAATTCTCCAAAATTTACCTCCTTTGGGTTTCGAACACCAGACCTCATGCAAGGTTGGCAAGCCATTTGCCACTAGAGCATCCAACCTCTTGCAAAATATGTTGCAAAGAATTTATTTTAAAGAATATTATAAGGATTTTGAAGGACAAATGCCTTCCTTTAGATTCGAACACTGAATCTCTTGAATGTTTTAAATGATCCCTGCCACTTGATCCAAAGCAAGTTTGTTGTCTCTTGATTCTTTAAGATATATTTATTATAATAGAATTATTTAAATTGAATAAAGTTAACACACATAAGATTCAAACCCTAGTTTTCCTTAATATAAGTGCGAGGTCATAACCAATAGAATCACTACTAATTCATTGAAAGAAGTTACATTATATTATATTTAATATATACATTCAAATTCAATTAATCAAGTTTTTTAACCAGTTAAACCGATTAAATCGTCAAAATCGTGAACTAGATGTCAAAACAGTTCGACCTCCAGTTCAATTTTGAAAACAATGCTAACAGAAGTATATTAATAGTATTTCTTAGTATATTTATTCTTTCTCTTTTTGTTCCTATTTTGTAGTTTAGAGTTCTAACTCTTATTGTATTTTCAATACTTCTAAAGCTTCTTGTTCTAAGTTTATGAGGTTTCTCTCTTTGAATTAAGTTAGTTGCTCAATTTCATCACAAATTCTAATTAATTTATCTCTATAAAGTATTCTTTAATTCATTATATTTTATTGGGATTATAGTGTCACTTTTTTAAAACTTAAAAGACTGTTCTATTTTAATTTTAAGTTTATTTTTCCATCAAAACTAATGAAAATCTTGTATGGTAGATTATTTTAAAATATTTTTCAAAGTTTATAGACCGTTTAGAAATAAAACATACTTTCTAGACTAAAATGAAATCAGACTGATAGTTAATGGACTAATTATTAAATTAAGCCAAATGTGTATAGACCCTTCTTTCTTCTTCTTCTTATTATTATTAGGTTAAAACCCCATTTTGATCCCTAAACTATTGTATGGACCCCCAATTTAGTCCCTAAACTAAAAAAATCCTTGATTTAGTCCTTACTGTTTACCATTTTTACCCCAAGTTGGTCCTTCCATTCAAAATCTCATGACGTGTACCATTAATTTACAGTAAAATGATGACATGTCAAAATATTATCTTAAGTGGAAGACAACATGGCAAAAAATAGTTACATGGAAAAAAATGATAATATAACAAAAAACTTAAAAAATTCTTTCCTTCTCTTTTTTTTTTTCTTCTTCTTCCTTTTTTTTTTCCCCATAGGGTTTGGAACCTAGAGTCGGGTTTGATTGAACCCAACCCCTGGGTTCCTTGGAACTCGGCTCTGGGTTCGAACGAACCCAGGCTCTGGGTTCCTTGGAACTCAACGCCTGGGTTCGATCGAACCCAGGCTCAGGGTTCCTTGGAACCCTGCTCTGGGTTCGGACGAACCAAGGCCCTGGGTTTCTGGGAACCCGACGTTGGGTTCATTGAACCTAGGTTTGGGGTTCCTTGGAACCCGATGAACCCAACGCGGAGTTCGTCGAACCTAGGTGCTAGGTTCTTCGGCAAAAAATAAAAAAAAAATTCTATGTTTTTGTGGGTGTTGTTTGATGATGATGATGAAGAACTGATTGATGAAGAAGAAGAATTGATTGATGAAGAAGAAGAATTGATTGATGAAGAAGGCGAGGAAAGGAAGAGGAAAGAGAAAGGGAAAGATGAAGGAGAAAGAACTTTTTAAATTTGTATTGCCAAATCATTATTTTTTTTTTTTTTTGTGCTAGCTGGCTTCCCACGTGGACATAATGTTTTGATGTATACATTAGGTTTCTGTTAGTCAACGGACACATGGGTAGATTTTTAACAGAAGAACCAACTCAAGATAAAAATAATAAACAGTAAGGACTAACTTAGGAATTTTTTTAGTTTAGGGATCAAATCAAAGGTTCGTACAATAATTCAGGGACTAAAATGGGGTTTTAACCTTATTATTATTTTGTTTTCCTTTGTTCCTTGTTTTGTTCCAGATCACTAAGGAAACCCCAGAGGTAAAAACTCCAATTCCATTTAACAATTATGGCATAGCGTTGAACAAGCATCGTTCACTAAAAAACAAAGATCACATGTCCACTGCCATATTTACACACTTGGCTGATCATCGTCCAATCTGTCAACGGATTTCCTCATGAAACCTTTCCGCCCCAGCTCCTCCTTTTTTAAATAATGACATGGAAGGGACATCCACCCATGTGGTCGGTTACTTGCCTAACACGTGGCAATCAACTATTGGTGAAAGTGGCTATCACAATCAACGTGGGCTCCTCCTGCGGTAGCCTTCCACCGCCCAAAGCAAAGCCTCCAAAAGACATGGCTTCTTTCTTCCTGCTTATGGCGACGGGGGTGGCCCGCCACTTTAGAGAGCATGGAAGGGAACGTAGGATGACACATTATGGGCCAAAAATCCTCGCCGATCTCGAGGTGGCACAATCAGTTGCCTGCTGGCGTACGGTGTTCTCTGGCTTAGTATGTATGCAGTATCCGGAACAGACTCGAGATTTATTTTGTGCTCCTCAAGAATCATTCATCATGGTGATGAGAAGATCTCAAGTCTTATGGGACAAACAATTTCACGAGAATAATAGAATAGAGGCAATTCCATCGGAAAGAGTGAATAACGAAGGGACTTGCATTGTCAAACATATGACCTGCTAAGATGTAAAGCGGTGTAGATTGTATTCCTTCCCACCGAACAAGTAGTTAGACCTTAATTGTAATACATCATTGGTTAAATGTCAATTTTATTGACAAAATAATTGAGAAAATATTGTATGGAGAGCTATAGAGTTTATAATGAAATTTTGTTTAAATTATATATTAGATTATTTACTTTTTTATTTTTAATAAAAAATTAATATTAGAAAAATTAGAAAAAAGTTGTAAAGTAAACGTTTCATTAAAAGACTAGGTGAAAAGAGAAATCCTGTTTATCTGGGGCTAACCACACCGCCAATGACAAACCTGGAAAATCCTAACCATAGTAGAACCTGCATTAGGGAGTAAGGACAATACAATATTAAAATATTTTAATAAAAATAAAAAGTCAGTGTAATGGAAGTTATCTTTTGAATATTTTTTAGAGGATTTTTTTAAAAATTTATATTTTAATTAATATTTTTAAAAATTAATTGTTTAGTTAAATATTCTATTTAAGATCATGTTAATTTTTAAATTGATATATCATTTATAATCATTTAGTTGAAGAAATTTTATATTATAACATATATTTAATAATATTAAATTTTATGTAATTAATAAATTAGTTAAGTATATTAAATTTATTTAAAAGTTGACATAAATAAAACAATTAATCTAATATTAACTTTTAAAAATATTAATTAAAATATATTATATTTTGTTTATGGTGCTTTCTTGTAAATCACTTTTCTCTAAAAAGAATATAATATTTATGCAGTTTAATTGGAGTGATTTTTTTTTTTTCTTTTGGATATGCCTGAACTAAAGAAAAAATGGTTCATAAAGCTGAACTTGAACTTAATTATGAATTTTTATCAAGCTGGAGCATGGTATAAACCTGATAGAGTCATGCTTTGAGTCTATCGATTCATATGAAATTTTTGGACACAAAGAAATTCAAATATCAAATTTGGCACTGCCGACCTTCTCGACCACTATTTCATATTTTCATTCTCCCTTAGGTAGGCCTACTGGATTCTGAGTCACGGGCGTCCACATCAGGTTGGCTAGGTATATCCAGATGGCCCACCAAGTAGCCATCAAATATTTGAAGAGGAGGCACAACATCGTGGACCAACACCCAGCCACGTCAGAATTTCATCCATTTCTTCTAAGCAAATTATGCCTATTGGCCATTACTTGTGTGTCCTTGGCAAATTATGACTTGATGCCGCCTAAACTTTTCAGTTTTCACGTCTCCTCCACTAATGTTTTATGACTCTAACATTGACAAATACTGCCACGGCTGCTGCTTTATTGTTTTGTTCCCCTTTGTTCCGCATCTATGCTTAGCTTCTACTAGTTTCTACTCCCTTTTTTTTTTTAAATGATTAATATATTTTTTAATTTGGTAAATCTTTTAATATTTATGTAGTTTAATTATTAAAATATAATATAAATATATCAATTTAACAAGTTTTTAGATATTGTATATATATAGTTATATCATTAAATTTATTTGTTTTTAATTTTAAATTAAAAAATAATTATTTTTTAATAAATATATTATATAATATATTGACTAAAAAAATATAACAATTAGTATCTTTATTTTTTAAAACAATTTGAGTACTTTCTGACCATCTTGTATGCATATTGAAATCAATCTCTTTTCAAGACATTTTAAGATATCATCCCTACATCAAAATTTATGTTCACACTAAAGTTTAAGTTTCAATACATGATTTAAAAGATGACACCCCCCATTAATACATTCAAAACTCGGGCTTCTTTTTCCTCAACAAAGTTTTATTAGTTTAGGATTTTCTACAATCTTACATTTATGATAAATTTATGTATTCTTACAATTAAAAATTGGATAGTTTAAAAGGAAAAAAAAAGGATAGTTTAACATGGTATTAGAATCCAAGACATTTTGTTAGCACTACAAATCGCATCACATAATTGGGAAGTACAGTACAAAAGTTATTGATTTACTAAATACTATTAATAAACAAGTGGTCACATTAGTATCCAATCTAAGGGTGTAGTAGCTTATACTATATTTAAGCACATGCGGTGTTTCCTTATTTTTTACTTTTTAATGTGAGATTTCTCACTTCATAAATATAAACAAGAAGGATTTACCAATATATATATTACTCAATGCCCAATTAGTATGTATACAATGAGTTTAGTTCTTGTTTGGCTTATCTTTTGAAGAGATCTTTTATATTTTAAAAGCTTGAGCTAGATCAGAAGCAGATTTTTGAAAAAAAATCTTTTAATTCTTGAAAGTTCTTAATTTTATTAGGTTTGACTACTTTAATTTATAAGGAAAAATGAAAAATCAGGACATTTTAATATTTAAAATGTCAAAATGTTCAATAATAACTACATGATAAATTTGATAAAATTATAACTCACATTATTGCTCATATATTTAATAGCTTGCAATTGAACATCTTAATATTTTTAATGTTGAAATGTCTTAAAATTTTTTTTTTCTAATTTACAATCCATTTTAAGTTTAGAGTGAAATGAATATGTCTATTTTAATAGATGGAATCAAATTTGTTTAGACGGTGAGAACTTAACAATTTGAACTAAACTAAGCCGACCCAAACTAGGCTACATCGATTTGGTTATGGTGTATATATTTGATAGAATTGGACTGACATTTTCCTTATCCAATTAAATTGGATTGAATGGTAAGATGTTTAAAATTGAATCAAACTACCAATGAACACCCCTAATTAAACCTCACATTTAATAATTTTCATAATCATTAACAATCTTTTTTTATTTTTCATATTTCTCCTATCCTTAAATTCTTAGTTTGAGAATAATAATTTAAAATAAATTTTGAAATAGTATATAATTAATAACAATAATAATTGTCATCCTTAACTAGTATGTGTAGTAAAAAAGGGCATAGTGGGATGGAGGGTAGATATTTAAAAGAAATGGTTAGGATTGATAATAGCACAGTTGAGAGATGAAGGCCAAAAAAAAAAATAGGAGGGGGAGGCTAGAACATGAAAGGATGATTATGAGGTTACCTAAATGACCGACTGCACAGAGCACACAAGCACAGAAACAAAGGAAGATGATGGCTTCGCTGAAAGTGGTGTCCATTATTTCCCCTCCCCATCTCTGAGTTAAAAATCGCCTTGGTTTTGATTACATTATTTGCCAGACATGCTAAGTCCTTTGAAAATAAGCGAGATGAGGTGTCAAATCCCAAGATTCTCTTTCAATTTTACCCGTCCAATTCACCTTCTTCCCCTTCTCTCTCATCAACTTTTGTAGGCCCTATATAAGCCACTCCCATTCCTCAACTCTTCACAACTCAAAACACGCATTCTTCCCTTTTGCTTAAATACTTTTGCTAGGGTTGGCTCCTGCCAACTCTGTTGTAACCTGTAATCACATATTTCCTTGAGAATCCGATGGCCACCGCAGAGGTATTGGAATTCTTTTCCAATTCTCAATATTCAACTAGGGTCTATCTTTTTCTCCCTGTATCCAAATCATTCTTTTAGACATGTGAAGATTTAAACCCTTAGGATTCGTTAAGAATAGTAGGATTTTAAAGTTAGTGAGTCCAAAACAGTAGCTATATTCTTGAATCTTAATTATATAATGTATCTAATTAATTTTTGCGGGGTTAATATATACAGGTTGTATCAGTCCAAACTGCACTTCATGAGGAGAAAACTGAAGATTCAGTTAAGATTCAAGAGACAAAAACAGAAGAGGTAGTTACTCCAGCAGCACCAGAGGCAGAGCCTGTTTCGAAAGAGGCAAAGGAAGCAGAGGTGGCGGCTGTGGCACAGGAAGCCCCAGCTGAAGTTGAAACCAAGGAAGTTGTAGAAGAGGCCAAGGTTGTCACTGAAGAACCGGAAGTTGAGAAGAAAGAAGAGGACACTGCCAAGGAAACTGTGCCGGAGCCAGTTTCTGAGGAGAAAATAGAGACTGCAGACCTTGTTGAGGAAACAAAAGAAACTACAGAGTCCAGCGAAGTACCTGAAGTGGAACCAGTTCCAGAGACAACAGTCGAAGCACCCAAAAAGGAGCCTGCAGGTGAAGAAGAGAAGCCGGTTGAAGCTGAGCCCGAGAAGAAACCCGAAACAGAAGCACCAGCTGTGAAAACAGACTGAATTACAAGGTGAGAGATCAGTGCGGTGAAGTGGAAGTATGTGTTGTGAGTAATGTGGGCTAGTTTGCTTGTCAATTTCAGTTCCTATGTAATTTAATAAAGATAAGTAAGGTGGATTAGACTTGGGACCTAGCCATGAAAAAAACCCACCAGGGATGGCAGAGGCATTTCATTGAACGCTTAAGCTGCATTGGTGGGGACGTTTAATTGTTGTCCGCACTTTTGGTTCCAAGTCCTTGTTTCATGTGTTTCAAAGTGCAGTATGTATGTTGTCTTAAATGATAACAATATATAATAAAGTGCTTTTGTTTGCTTTCTTTGTTGCCCAATAACTGAAATCATGTCATAGCGAGAAAAAAAAAAAAAAAAACACTGGAATCATGATTCTCTGGTGAGTGATCAAACTTGAAAGGTTTAGGGAGTAGGACAAGTCTTAATGATAATTGGAAATAAGGATATACGTTTGGAAAGAGGGAATCAATCAAGTGGAAATGGAATTGATGGTGGAATTAATTTCATGAGGAAGTGGAACTAAATGTTAATTCACTACTAAAATATAGAGTTTTAGTAACATGAATTTATCTCACTGAAAGCCTCTTCTATGTGAGTAAAAGTGTATCGCAATACTAGGCTTGTGGGTGAAAGTCTGGTGGCAGTTGCATCCTTTGGTAAAAAGAATTAAGGAGATATTGCACTTGTGGGTGAATATTTCATTTTCACCCATGTGGTATTTAATGTTATTTAATAGTTACTAGAGCATTAAGCCAAAGTCCTCAAATACAAACAACAAGGTAAATCGTAAACCACTTGGGTAAATCTTTCCTTGCACCCATGTCGACTTATTACTATCTAAAGGTGCTTGAATGGCTGCAGTGTCTATATACTCTATTACTCACATGAGACACAATGCAACACCAACGTTTACCAACATGAGCCAAAATGCTAAGAACCTGTTACAGAGAAGAAATTAACATTTACCCACATAAATCAAAATGCTAAATTTCTGTTCCAAAAAGAAATTAATTTGAAATATTTATAACCCACATTTGACATCAATTTAGATCACCAAAATAAGATGTAAATATTATGAATGTCATACAACAATTATGTTTATTGAATAACTCAATATTTCCATATATAATTAATTGTAAAACAAAATTAATCCTTTATTAACATAATGAAATTGAAAGAATAATCAACAAGTAAATGAACTAAAAATTAAATGTAGAAATTCAATTAAATTCATAAAATCTAACAACATACATTTCAAAAATTACAAAAATTTCAATAATTATTAGTGCCTATAAAAAATAACAAGATATGTTTGAATTTAAGTGGAAAAAAGTTACAAATGATCAAAATATAAAATGAAATGAGAAACTAAATTAATTCAAACCTCATGAATTAGGAATAATATCTCACATACAAAACTAAAGCAAATTCAAATGATGAGTATATCAAGTAATATTTACCCAACTCCACATTTTAATAAATTTTGGGGCAAAAATAAAAATTCAATTAAATCTGATAAAATTTAAAGAGACAAGAAGATTTTTACCGACTAAAACCAAAATACTCACCTACAAAACCATGAAAGGAAAAACTAATTTTAATTAGTGTCGAACTTCAACACATTAATAAGCAAAATTTAAAAGGAAAAAATGACAAGTCTTGAAATAATAAAATAGTAATATAAATGTGATGTGCTATGATAATAATCTAAGGAAAATTGTTTATCTAAGGCCATGAAAAGCAAAAGTTGAACCATAGAAAGGCAAAAAAAGGAGGAGGAAGAAGGAGAAAGGAAAAAGAAGGAGAAGAAAAATGTAGGAGGGGGGGGGGGTTTATTAGTTTGATATATATATTAAAATTCATCATGCCATATTATGTGGGTTAAAGTTAGAATAATTTTTACCTCCATGGAATACAATGGCATGTGCAACAAAAAAGTGCCTAACAAAATAATTTGAATAAAGTTCAACATTGCATAGTACATTGATAAAAACTGGAATAACTTTAACCCACTTGGGATGTAATATTACTTATAGGCAACAGGTGCCTCCACAAAAACTTTGAAAAAATTATACAACTCAAGGGCTTAAAATATTTTCGCCAAATTATCCACGTATAACGTATTGCTACATTAAACCATCACCCATGTAGAATGTAATGCTACCTTGAAATTATCCAAAACGCTATCTACCTTAAAATATCTTGACAAATAATGATGTGTCAACCATTGCTATATATATCAAGAGTGTGGATCTCCTCTCTAAATATTGATTCCCCAGTCCCTTCCTAGAATTAACAAATTGACATGACAATTTTATTCTCATTCCCTTAAAATACCATGCAAGCAATAAAATTTGTTGCATGATTTTGATGATTACAAAACACATTTGAGTGATCAATTGGTTTATTTAAGTGTGTAGTTAAAATGTCAAAAGATTGCAAAGTAAACTTGGACTGCACTAAAAATGGACCAAAAGACTTGAAAATGTGCAAAGAGCCGGCTCTTGAAACTTGCAACCAGCTTTGGTGAATGGAAGTGCAAAGAGCTGGCTCTGGAAGCTACAGTCGGCTCTATGGGTGAAAATTTGAAGTCCGTTGTTTGGCACGCACGGAAAACGGATGCTAAGCCAGCTCTGACTTTGCAACCGGCTATAAAAGTGCATTTAATGCACAGCGGTGTAGTTATTTGAAGATTAATTAATGTTTTTAAAGTTGGAATCCCAAGCCAGCTTTACGTTTTGCAGTCGGCTATCAAAGAAAATAGAATGTGCAGGAAACCCGCAAAACTGGCTTTACGTTTTGCAGTCGGCTTTACAGAGAAAACAGAACGTACCGGAAACCCGCAAAGCCGGTTGTAGATTTTTTAAGCTGGCTGTAAAGAGCCAGCTGTGCTATCAATTCTGCAACTCGAATTGTGCGACTTGCAAAGCATTTAATGATCCCCAATAGATAGTAACAGTTATTTTTGACCATGAGGTTATAAATATGGTTGGTAGAAGATCTGGAACAAGTTTAGAAAGCATTGCATTGAATACCTGTACCTACCTACATGTGCTTTAACTTGAGTTTTTAATATTTGAGAAATCTTTATATATAATCCTCTTCTTGTTCTATTTATGAGTGATCTTAGGGTGTCATTAATCCTTCAAGAGTGATCTATAGAGAGGATTCTTGGGGTTTATATTGTCAAGGGGTGAGGTTTGAGGGAAATACTCATCTTCTTGTAAAAGAATTGAGTGGCTCTTTTAAGCCACCCTTGTTTTCTTAGTGGAGAGTGTGGAGAAAATCCTTGGTGAGTGAAGCCAAGGTAAAGGACTAGGCTCCAACTAGTTGGACTGAACCTCTATAAAATCATTGAGCAAGCTCTTTTCTACTCCCTTTAATTTTGATTTTGTGGTTGCAAAATGGGAGAATTTTTGGAACTCCAATTCACCCCCCTTCTTGGCGTACATTGAGTCAACAATTGGTATCAAAGCAAGGGCTCCAATTTGAAGGTTTAAAGACCTAAGAGTTGATTGGGCATGGCTCAATTTCAAGCTTTTCAACCACTTGAAGGTTTGTCTACCACTTGAAGGTTTGTCTACCACTAAGCCTCCTTTCTTTGATGGTACTAATTATAATTATTGAAAGAATAGGATGAAGGTCTTCATGCTTGCAAATGTGCCCAAGGCATTTATTATGACTTTAAAAGGTCCATATGTGCCTATGAAAGTTGTTGGAGAAAGTGAGATGCCAAAGGAAGAAGTTGAATGGAATGATGAAGACTTGGGGAAGATCAGGATCAACAACAAAGTAATCAACATGCTTCAATGTGCTCTCAATCCAACGGAATTCCATAGAGTATTCAGATGTGATATGGTTAAGGAGATGTGGGACATGTTAGAGGTCACACATGAAGGAACAAGCCAAGTGAAGGAGTCAAAAATCAATAAACTCATTTACATGTATGAGCTTTTTCAAGATGAAACCGGAGGAGAGCATTCAAGATATGTATACAAGATTGAATGATATAGTCACCAATCTCAAGGCTCTTGGTAAAGTCTATCCCCTTCAAGAAGTGGTGAGGAAGGTACTTAAAAGCTTGCCCAAGAATTGGGAAGCCAAGAAGACCACAATTGAAGAGTCTAAGGATCTCAATATGCTCAAGCTTGAAGATCTCATTAGAAAATTGATGACATATGAGATAGAAGTTCAAGTTGATGGTGGAGTTGAAGTAGTTGAGAAAAAGAAGAAGGATGTTGCATTCAAGGCTAGCAACCAAAAGGAAAAGAGTGAAGATGATGCTAATGATGGTGAAAACATCTCCACCTTGATCTCTAGAGAAGTGAGGAGATTCATGAAGAAGAATATCAAGAGCAAGCTTGCAAAAAGAGATGAAGGAGAGTCTACCAAAAAGAGTGAAATGCTATGAGTGCAACAAGATGGGGCACTATAGAAATGAATGTCCCAAATTGAAGAAGGGTGAGAAGAAAGACAAGAAGAGCATGAAGAAGAAAGCTTTTGCCGCCACTTAGAGTGATGATGAGACTAGCTCAACAGAAAGTGAAAGCTCCTTGGAGAAAGGTGTTGCAAATCTTTGCTTCATGGCTCAAGAGGATAGCAACAATGATGAGGAGGTAAACTCTAACTTTTCTAGTTCAATTAATGAAAGTTCCTTTGAGTATTCTTATGATAATTTATGCAAAGTTCTTGATTGCTCTATAAATGATATTAAGAAACTAGGGAATGAGAATCTTGTTCTGACTAAAACTATTTCATTACTTAAAAATGAGATTGAATCTCTTTCAAAACAAAATGAGGTTTTAGTTAAAGAAAATGCGTCTTTAAATGGTGAGATTGCTTCTTTAAAGAATGAGGAATCTAATAAAGCTTTGAAAGAGGAAAATGAGGATTTAAAGAGAAAAGCTTGTGATCTTGAGAATGTGATTTCCAAATTTACCTTAAGTAAAGAAAAATTTGATTCTATGTTAAAATCTCAAAGAAGTATTTATGACAAAGGGGGCATTAGATTTGATTATTCTAAAAAGCAAAAGAGTTTTAAGAATTCCTTTATAAGAGCAAGTCAATTCTCATATTCTAAAGTTACTTGCTCTTGTTGTGGTGTAAAGAGACACTTTGCCTATGTATGTCCTTTGAGGAGATTGATAGCTCAAGGCAAAGTGAAGTAAATTTGGGTTCCAAAAGGAACTTTAAGCACTAACCCCCATGGACCCAAGCAAATTTGAATATCAAAAATCAAAACTTGATTTTGTTTTGTAGGTAAAGTTGAAGGCAAAGTCACAAGAAAAGAAAAGTTGATCTTGATAAAGACTTATGCCTCAACAAGAATGTTGGAATGGAAGTGCAAAGAAAATTTTGTTTTTGAATGCTCCACTCATGTGCTCAAATTGGTATTATTTATTTTATTGCATTTATTCATTGAGTATAATTACTTTAACATGATTAGTAATTATTTGTTTATGTGTGTTCACTTTTTGATATATATGCTTGTTGAGTATGATATCATTTGATGTGCTTATTAAAATTTGTGCAAATTAATGAGTTTGGCATGTTAGATCCTAATGCTTGATATGGCTTTTGAAATTAATATATTTGCTTATTAGAATTTATGCATATTGATGACTTTGATAAGTGTACCTTGGTTATAATCATGTTATTGGTTGATGCACACATTGATATATGATTAAAATTGCATAATTTAGTGGTTGATGTCCAATTTAAATTTAGTTAAATGAAGAAATATCAAATTAAGGTGCACTTTCTTCAAAACAGCCCCAAACCTTTTATTTGTACCATTTAAGGCCAAAACAACCGGCTGCACATCTTTCACAACCAGCTCAACCCAAAAAGTAGAAAGTTCAAACTTCCTAAGCTAAGCCGATCCTGCCATCACAATCGGATCTCCTGGAATTTTTTAAAAGCTCGCGATTTTCTCTCTCTTTGCATTCCAAGTCTGTTTCTTCTCCACAAAACACACCCATTCCTCTCCCAAACACATAAACCTCACCAAATCTACAAAACCCATCACTCAAACACTCAAATACCTCCAAATCTTTACAAGCCCAACACAAATCTTCAATCTTTTCACTCCAATTTTGTGTGGAATTTGTTGTTCTCTCTTTCATGGCTTCAAGAAGGGGTAGAAGCAAGGGAAAACAGATTGGGAGTTCTAGTGCTGGCGGTTAGGCTCAGGAAGAAGGTAACCTCTTTGATGATACTTTGTTTTGGGATGATGATGCCTTTAATCACTATAATCTTGTAAAAAATTTAGCTGTGCTACCATGCAATAGTGTGAAGTTTAGTCAATTTCCTCAAGGAGACATGCATGTAGAGGAGATTTTTAGTGAAATTGGGTGGACTAATTTTTTAGAGGTTAAGGAGCATGTGTATAATGATGTGGTTCACCAATTCTATGCTAATTTGAAACCAAAAAGGGAGAAGTGCAAAACTATGGTTAATAGGGTACTGATTCAGTTTTTACCTAGAGAGATTTGCACTGTATTAGAAATACCAGAGGGTGGAAATGATGAATTTGAAAATGTCAACCATGAAGAAATTAGAATCACACTTGCATCGACCTGTACTACAACTCAAATTAGTGTCGGCTTTCTTTCACCGAAAAACAGAGCATTACAGTGGATTATTAGTCGTATTCTTGCTCAAAGAAAGGGTTCCAAATTTGTTGTACTTACTAGTGATCTTCCATGGTTTGATCACCTTCTGAAGTGGAAAAGGTTGAACCTCGGTACATTTATTTACCAAAACATTATCAAGAATTACTCATCAAACATGGGTCTTCCGCATGGTGCTCTAATCACTAGGCTAGTAAAAGGGAACAACATTGATCTTGAATCTTTTAAGCATGGGAAAATTAAAGCTGGGACTACTCTTACCTAGGCTTCCTTTGAAAAAATGCAAGTTGTGTTTTGAAATGGTGTTTGGAAGAAGAGAAGGGATCAAGCAATGGAATAGCAAGGTGATGAAGAAGAAGGTGATGAAGAAGAAGGTGATTCAGATCAAGAAATGGCAGAACAAGGGGAAAAAGAACATGGAGGTGACAGCCCAAGACCCTTTCAAGCCTCCATGCAAAGGACTAACCACGAAACCATGGAGCTTATAATAAATGAAATGTAGCAATTGCACACTGACTTTATGATTTCTAGAAGGAGATGAGAGGGAGGATAGATACCATGGATGGAAAGCTTGATCAGCTTGTTAACCATTTTTTTCCTCCACCCCCACCCAGTGCCACCTAACTCGATATTTCTTTTGTTCGGTTAATCATTAGGATGGACATCTTAGGCTTATGCATTTTAAGTTTTTAATCTTGTGACTATGTTTTTCTTTGTCTATGGATATTTCTTGAACCTTTTTATCATGTTTTGTGAACAGTAATGGCATGACTTGTGCATTTTATCATTATTAATGGTCATCTATGATTTTGATGATTGTATGCTCATATTAAGGGGGAGCAATTTGTGGATCTCATGCTTAAATACCATTCTTTTTATGCTTTAAAGGTTGATGTGCATGAATTAAGGGGGAGTTTGTTGATTATGTTTATATGCTTTTTGATGAATGACAAAAAGGGGGAGAAAGTATGCTGAATTCTTATGTTTTAATGTCAATTTTTAGAGTATCTTTGTGCTGAAATTTCTGGTTAATATTGAAGCATATATGTGCTTTTATTAATTCATTCTCAAAGTGTTTTGTCATCATCAAAAAGGGGGAGATTGTTGTACCTATGATTTTAATGATTACAGAACACATTTGAGTGACTAATTGGTTTATTTAAATGTGTAGTTAAAATGTTAAAAGATTGCAAAGTAAACTTGGACTGCACTAAAAATGGACCAAAAGACTTGAAAATGTGCAGAGAGTCGGCTCTTGAAACCTGTAGCCGGCTCTAGAGAATGGAAGTGAAGAGAGCTGGCTTTGGAAGTTACAGCCTACGGGTGAAAATTTGAAGTCCGTTGTTTGGTACACGTAGAAAACAGATGCTAAGTCGGCTTTGACTTTGCAGTCGGCTGTAAGAGTGCATTTAATGCTTAACGGTCAAGTTATTTGAAGATTAATTAATGTTTTTAAAGTTGGAATCCCAAAGCCAGCTTTACGTTTTGTAACCGGTTGTCCAAGAAAATAGAATGTGCAGGAAATTCACAAAGCCGACTTTACATTTTGTAGCAGGCTCTATGGAGAAAACAGAACGTGTAGGAAACCCGCAAAGCTGGCTACAGATTTTTTAAGTTGGCTGTGAAAAGCTAGCTTTAAAAATGTAAGCTGGTTGTGCTGTTAATTTTACAACTCGAATGGTGCGACCTGTAGAGCCTTTAATGACCCCCAACGGCTAGTAACAGCTATTTTCGACCATGAGGTTATAAATATGATTGGTAGAAGATCTGGAACAAGTTTAGAGAGCATTGCATTGAATATTTTTACCTACCTACATGTGCTTTAACTTGAGTTTTTGATCTTTGAGAGATCTTTACTTGTAATTCTCTTCTTGTTCTATTTGTGAGTGATCTTGGGGGTGTGATTAATCCTTCAAGAGTGATATATAGAGAGGATTCTTGACGTTTATATTATAAAAGGGTGAAGTTTGAGAGAAATACTCATCTTCTTGTAAAAGGATTGAGTGGCTCATTTAAGCCACCCTTGTTTTCTTAGTAGAGAGTGTGGAGGAAATCCTTGGTGAGCCAAGGTAGAGGACGCTCCAAGTGATTGGACCAAACTTCTATAAAATCATTGAGCAAGCCCTTCTTCTCTACTCTCTTTAATTTTGTTTTTGTGGTTGCAAAAGGGGAGAATTTTTGGAACTCCAATTCACCCCCCCTCTTGGAGTACTTTGAGTCAACAAAATTTAATAAACACATATATGTTCAACTCATAATTAAACAATATAATCATAGTTGAATGACTGACAAAATCTAATTTCACATTTAAAAACATCAAAATCTATGAAAAACATAGTTTAGCACACTTTAGAATTTAGGTAATCCACATTACATCCCACACCAATAAAATGATACCAATCAATTCAAACAATCTACCCAATCTAGCCATATAAGCATGCACATAGTAAGTCAATCTCCCATATAACATAAACAATATATAAGTCATAATACTAATAATGAAAGACATGAAAATAGAAAGTCATAACATCAAAAACCATTAGATTTGTGATTTGAGGCTAGCTATAGTCTAATCAGTTGCACGTTGAGATGGTAGGCTTTTGAAGTTTGAATGGTAAACACTGGCATGTACCATAATGGAAAATGCAAAAAAATAACAAATGAACTTTAGCAACATGTATTAAAATGTTAAATGAAAAACCTCGATCACCCATGTAAATTGCAGTGCTCAATCCTAAATAGTTGAATTGTGACAATATTGCTTGCTATTATTTCAAAACTTGATATAAAATATATAAATGTAACAAAATGTAACAAATAATAGTAAAACATTTTGAATTAACTTACATTGTATTACAAATAAATATAGTAATATCTAATATTATTTTTAATTTACAAAACTTAGAGCATGTTTGGTGAAGCTTGTAAGAGCTTCTGCTTTTTGACACTATTTATATTTTATAAGTTTAAACTTCTCTCTTAAAAAATTACATTTTTTAATTTCTTTTTAACATAAAAAAGACCTTAAACAGTAAATTTTGAAAAACTTCAAATTTGTACTTTTTATAAACTCCCTTTTTACTTACTTTTTACTGATTTTTTTCTATTTCTAAAAGCAACTTTTAAATTTTCCCTTCAATAAAAATTTAAACTTATCACTGATAAATGGTACCAAAAAAGTAAAAGCTCTTACAAGTTTCACCAAACATACTCTTAATATAATATTGTTGAGTTATTAGTTTTCAAAGGATATTAGAAATTATGAATGAAAATAGTAAATAATAGTTAAAAATACAAATAAATATATATTATTTAAAGCCAAAAACAAGAATATGTACATTATGGTTCTTAAATAGAATATAATATGTTAACTTTATTAATCTTATATTTTTTGTCAAAAATCACCTAGGTATGAGATATTGCCTGTTTCTAATGTTGAAAACAACTTTGGTTGGGAATTAGCATTTTTTATCACATTGTTGATTTTAACTTTCAACAATGTGGCACATGTTGGTATATGTTAAAAAGTCTTGTCTTGCTAGAAAACATGGGGCCAACATATTCTACATTGGTATATATTACATGACTTATATTGAAAATTTAATTTCTTGTCAAAAAATTAAAGCAACGTAATTCATGTAAGTGATTTTTCATTTATTATTACATTGACCGATGGACCATTTGGCATTGTTAGCCACATACGTAAAAGTATACATCACCTAAGTATCTACTTATATTGCTAATTCTTTCTTGCTAAAGTTTTGCATTTTACTGGTGATTTTAAATTTTGGTAATTAATGCGTATTTAAATTTCTAAAACACCATCTTCCATTTCAAAATGTCTAACTTGAAAATTAGTGTAAAATTTTTTAAACTTAAACTAGTATAAGTTGATATATATATATATATACATGTATGAGTAGGAATTTACTTATATAAAAGTTTTACACACTACATTTATATAAAATTTTAACTATTCATCTATCTACTTTCAAGTGTTTGTTAAGATTTATTCACATTTATTAAAGATAATTGTTTTTTTACATAAAAAAGTCATAATAAATCTCAACTATTGAAAATGAGAAAATAAATGATTAAGATTTTGTATAAAAATGATAAATGCATCCTATATATATATATGAGAATAGTGCATGTTAGTTAAGACATACATAAAAAATTGGGGTCTCAACTTTAAATAACATTGTTTTATTTAATTAAAACTTAATTTAAAATTTTGAAATCTGCTTTATTAAATATTAATTCTTGCATTTGGAAACCAATTATGTATTTTAAATATATAATCAATTTTTAAATGTAGATATCAATTTTTAATAAGATGAATTTTTAAATTTTAAATTGAGTTTTAATTAAATGAAATAACTTTGGTACTTTAATTTTTTTAGTCCATACTAATATGTCATATCCTCTAAATTATATAAAAAAAAATACATATTAATTAATTCTAACTCTTAAAAGAAATTAAAATCTCAAACTTAAACTATCAATTGTATTTCATTAATCCTTTTTTTTTTCTCAGAGCAACAAGGGCCACAAGATCACTGTTTTTCAACAACCAAAATCTATTATTTGGTTATTCACTTAAAAAACACATCCTCCCCTTTTCTTATTGGCAAAAACACTGGTTTTAGCATTTCATCTTATCAAGTTTGAATGTTTTAACCATTCACTTTATATTATGACACTTTTAACCCCTTACCTTACTAGATTTGTAGGTTTTAGTCCCTCACCTATTAAAATAGAAGAAAATAGCCCCCACTTTATACTAACTGTTAACTCTGTTAACTGAAAGTAGGTTTTTGTTAACTAACAGTAACTAATAATCAGTTAACAAAATTAACGAAATATTATAAAGTTAATTCTGTTAATTCTATTAGCTGAAAAAAGGTTTTTGTCAACTAACAATCAGATAATAGAATTAATAGTCAGTTAACAAAACTAACAAAATGTTATAAAGTGAGGGTTATTTTCTTCAATTTTAATAGATGGGGGGCTAAAAGTGTCATAGTATAAAATGATGGGCTAAAACTTATAAATCTAGTAAGGTAAGGGGTTAAAAGTATTATAATATAAGATGAGTAGCTAAAACCTTCAAATTTGGTAAAGTGATGGGCTAAAACTAGGCTTTTGCCTTTCTCATTCTTGTCAGTTCCTCCCTCAAAAAACCTTGCGGACCCCTTTAATTTCTTGTTGAATTTGTGTATTTCTTGATTTCTTTCCCTTGCGGGCAACCCTATTGTCGCCCACAAAAAGTGAATTGCATGAGGGGTTGAAAATCCGCAAATGGGGTGAAAGTAGATATTGAGTTTTGTTTATTTCAAAGTTGTCGATACCGTAGCAACATATATATCGGTTTTACTACTGGAACGGTACGTACTAAATACCAGAATTTTTCGCGTACCGTTTCAGATTTATCGCTATAAATATATATATATTACAAATTAAATATCAAAATTTAAAATAATGATAAGATAAACTAATATTTAAACCATCATATTCCTATAAATTACAAACAAGTTTAAAATGGCCAACTTTATAAAACATTTATAATTTTTTTTCTTTTTTCTTTTTTCTTTTTGAAATTAAGATAATATTAGAATGCATAATAGTGTTTTGAGTTTAATATTATACAACTCACAATACAAAATACTTCTACAAGGGAAGAAATCCTGTCTTTTAAATATAACAAGAATGCAAAAAACAAACCAAAACATTATTGAGAAGAGAAAGTAGCACCCGATGAGTATTGAAAACTAGAAGTCTAAATCTAAAATTATCAAAAGGGACTAAAAATACACATTTTTAATCTCTCAACTTATAATATATGTATGTTTTCATCCCTTTACTTTAAGTTAAAAGACTAAAAATGTACATATTTAGACAAACTCAACAGAGTAACTAATAGAAGGAATAAAACAATACATTTTTTTTATAGTTGATGGATTAAAAAAGTAGATTAAAAATTTAAAGGATCAAAATTATGCAAAACCTTAAAGTTGAGGAGAAAAATGAAATTTACCCTTTTAAAATTTGAATTGATTTGTATCTGCTAATTTTCGGTATATCGGCTAGTATGTCGAAATACCGATTGTGTCACGCCCCAAGACCCAAATTCGAGGTGCGACAGACGCCGTACACTCGTGAGACGGGTCCCACAAGTGCACAAGGCTCGGAACTTATCATATCACACTCTGATACCATCAAAATCTGAAGATCAAATCTTTAAAATTTACTCCGATAACATAAAATCTTCAAATACAAGATCATGATTCATATCTAAAAATCTATATCAATCTCGAAATGGCTAGCTTTCTAACTC